GAGTTGGCGAACACCGGGTTACGAGTGGAAAGAAGTCCCACTCGTCTGGGGAAACAAGTTGAGTGGCAGTGTCGGCCTCACTTGCGCATCGGAGTTCGCCGACGAAACTGCCTCCAAGGTTAGTACATTGGAACATTGTATTTAATGGGAATAAAAGCTGGAGCTTTACATGACCCATAGGGTAAAAAAGAGTACGGGTCGGGTTTAATGAAGGGCCAAGCAACCTTATAGCGGGTTGGACTCGCGTGTTAGCCGTATTTTCATCGGGCTTATGTGGCATTTAAACAGAATGCACGCCGGCTCAAAGCGAGACATCCCACCACGCCCTCCGAAAGGGATTTGGAAAGGAAGGTGAAGAAAATAAAGAAATTCCGTCCAGTAGAATGTAGTTAAATTAGGGAATATCGCGGTGTAGCTCGGCCAGATGACAGTCCAAGCGGGCCTTGAAGTCCGCCACAGTGGGTGCCAAGACTACATCGGCCGGCAGGAGGCATTCCACGGTCGGCAGATTCGCAAAGAGAAGTAGTGTCGTCCGCATTCAGGCCGACTGTGCTGATGTGTGAGCCTCAGTGGGTGGCCACGTAGGTGGAGCCCGATTGGTTGCAGTGTGAGTTAGTGGCGACAGGGATGTCCAGGGTTGGATAAGGATCATGAATAAGAGGATCAGGTCGCCCCGTAGACGTCGGTACTTAAGCGAGTAGAGGCCCCAGGCACTGAAGTCGTTGTGGATAATCCTAGGTGCTTGAGACCTCGGACCAGTTTGTGGTTGCTCGGAACGTTGTGGGGCTTCGAGTATGCGTTGGTCCTTCAACAACCAAGGACTCCAAGCCTGAATAGCGAACTCCAAGTGGGGTCGGAGAAAAGCGTTAAGGAGGAGGCGGAAATTGCTGGGTGGTCAATTTGACCGAAGGCTCGTTTTCAGCAATCCCACCATGCGCGGTTAGCAGCAGCAGCTGCTTTCCGGCAGGAAATCGGATACGGAAAGACTCGTCTGGGTAATGATACCCCAAGTCTCTTTCGGCTGAAGAGATCTGGAGGATAGACGCTCCCAGGTAATATACAGGAGAAAAAGCGGAAGGGCGGGTAGAAAGGACGCGACATTTCGAAGCGTTAAATGGAAGGTTATTTTCTATGGACCACTGATTTAGACGGTCGAGGTCCATCTGAAGTGCGTGGGCATCGTCCGGTACGGGACTAGACGACCAACCAAAAGTAGTGGGCAGAATACACAAAAGTAAACTAGGGAAGAAGTTTATTGAACGGGAGGAGCGTTAACTAATGCTAAAAATAGGGCACCCAGAGAGAGCTAGCTAGGGAGAATGTCGTTGGCGTCGAGTGCGTTGACAGAGCGTCGTTCGCAGTCGAGTCGCGCGCGCCAAAGGCGGAGATCGTGTTCGTGTTTTCAACAAACGGGAACAACGTTCCAACAGGCAAACCGAATACTTCCCTAATACATAAGAAAGCTATAATTTGAATATTTTAGAATAGTTTACACAGTCATACGGGGGAATCTCCAGGTCACTACAGAACGCAGCGTCTGCCTTGGTAGCTAAGTCTTTCAAGGGTGCGGGAGACTCGTGAGCACCTACCGAAGCATTGACGGTCTGTGTGAGCAGCTGTGGTGTTCGATCCACCTACGACGCGGCGAACTGCTTGTGGGTGTGGCATATCGTAGCCCACTGAGTAACGGATTGGATTGGCTCACACACGTCCAAAACCAAATGAGTCGCCCGCAGTTCCTGCTCACTGGCGACTTTAACCTTCCTCGAATCTTATGGCCTGAAGTTCAGCTTCTCCCTGGCCATAATGAAGTGGAGACAAGATTCGCCGAACTGGTACTGGAAACCGGAACGGTGCAGCACATCACGCAACCCACCCGCATAACCCCGCGCTCAATGCCATCATGCCTGGACCTGCTGCTAACCAGCTGCGAACAAACAGTGCATGACATAGAAGTTCTTGAGCCCATGGCGGAAAGTGATCACTCGACAATTATGGCCACGATAGACCTGCAGCTTCCATGTGTGCGTCCAGTGGCGCCAACATACAACTATTGGAAAGCTGACTTCGATGGCCTCATTCTAGCTGCCAATCAGCTTGATTGGTCTATGCCACAGGATTCATCCGTTGAAACTTGCTGGGCAAACATTAAAGGGGCAGTGCACTCATTGTGTGCGCAATTTGTACCCCTCAAGACTCGGAAAGTTGGACCAATGAAACCCCATTGGGTTGACAAAGAGTATAACCGACTGTCTCGACAACGGCGTCGACTATGGAATGCGTTCCTCCTGTCTGGCTCTGCCGATGACTATGAGGCATACAAGCGACAACGAAACTTGTGCAACAGCACAAAGACGCGAAAACGCCGTCAGTTTGAGGAGCAGCTTGCTTGCTCAGCTAAAACTGCCCCGAAGCGCATATTTGCGTACGTGAAGCGACGCCTGAAGTCTGCAGGTGATGTGCCGGTGCTAGTGGGTTCGGACGGACAACCACTAAGTTCAAGCACCGAGCGTGCGTCCGCATTAGCTGCGCACTTCGCTTCTGTATTCGCAACTAACCAAACCTGCGCGCCAAGCTCTGCCGTCGCCGCACCGACTGAGCTAACCGACTTGGTCTGCGACGTCGCGGAGGTACATGGGCTAGTCAGCTGCCTAGACAGCACGAAGCCAGCTGGACCGGACGGTCTCCATCCGCTGATCCTCAAGTCCTTGTCAGCTGTGATCTCACCTGCTGTAACCGACCTGGTCAACCGATCCCTGTCCATAGGCTGCGTGCCTTGTGACTGGAAATGCGCCGTTGTCAAACCGATTCCAAAAGGCGGTGACACACGCAAAGTGGAGAATTACCGCCCTATTTGTTTGACCGCAGTATTGTCGAAAGTTCTGGAGAAGATTGTGAAGAAGAGACTGCTCCAGCTACTGGAGACCAACTCTCTCCTGACGCCTGCACAGCATGGTTTCGTGAGAGGCCGCTCGTGCATCACTAACCTGCTGCTAACATGGCATGAATGGTTGCAAGCAGTAAACCAACGTAAGTCAGTCGACGTGGTATACGTCGATTTCAGTAAGGCCTTCGACAGAGTGAATCACGAGATCCTCCTTCGGAAACTGAGGGAGTGCGGAGTCGGAGGCTCGCTGCACCAATGGATCCGTGACTTCTTAGTTGGACGGAAGTGGAGGGTGCAAGTCGACAGCCACCTGACCGACTGGTACCCGTCGACGAGCGGCGTTCCTCAGGGGACGGTGCTTCGCCCCATTCTCTTCCTGATTCACATCAACGACGTGCCCAATCTCCTTCGGTCGCCGTGTGCCTTGTTCGCGGATGACATGAAGCTATGGAGGGTGATCAATACGTCGGACGACTTTGACATACTTCAGCAGGACCTCGACCGCCTCTCCATGTGGTCCGCCGAAGTAAGTTTGCCTATCAACTCGGCAAAATCGCTACTTCTGTGCCTCGGTAAAGGTGGAGCGGGCCGATCGTACACTCTCGACGGCCAAGTTCTACACCCGACGCATTGCGTCAGAGACCTTGGCGTTATACAACGTTACGACATGAAGTCACTGGACAACACGGACAATATGTATCGCACAGCATTGCGTTCGCTGTGGGCGCTGAAACGTAGCTTCTGCACCTGGTCGAAAGAGATTGCCACTCGTCTCTTCACATCCATTGTACGACCGGTGCTAGAATACGGCTCACCCGCCTACTGTCCGTTGACGAAAGGCGAGATACCCAAGCTCGAAAGCGTACAACACATAGCCACACGGCTCATTCCCGGTCTTCAGGGTTTGCCGTATGAAGAAAGATGCAGACAATTGGGTCTATATACTCTAGCCTGCCGCCGCGTGTGAGTGGACCTCATCATGACCCATCGGGTATTGCATCTGGGTGCTTATCCGATGCTGAGTCCACTGCTCCATGTCCGTGCGTCAAGCAGCACACGAGGTCATCAGTACAAACTGGTAGTCCCTGACCTCAAGTGGGTAGCTCATCCCTTGTGTCTTGAGCGGCGAGTGGTGAACATGTGGAACCGTTTGCCCTCGCGGATAGTAGAAGCGAACTCGGTGTCGGAATTCAAACGATTCCTGGACGCGCACTTTGCGGATGCCAGATTCGACGAAGCCTTCACAGGAAACTGACGAAGGAACCGTTCAATGATTATAACCCATGGAGCCCGTTAATCCACCAACTGCAGCTTCCGAAACGATGCCCATCCGTAATAGGCGGCGGAGCTGGTGAAGGACTCCATGTGGTTCATCCAAGAATATATGGTAAGTACATGAAGATTTTTTCTATGCTTATAAATATTTTACTATTTTACTTTTTTCACCTGGGCTAGCTCACTACTACAGGTAACACTGTGTCAGTGGGACATGTCCTACATCGAGATATAGCTACATAGATGTTCAACATCTTTCTCGCTATCATGACAGTCAAGTCAAGTCAAGTCAAGTCAAGCATTACCGGCAATGGCTCTGGGAGACGTGCAAACCACAGCTCCTTTATCCCTTCTTCGCTCAAGAATAAGGGACCAGCGATGCGCTAAAGTTCGCAGAGCAATGCCGACGGCTTGCGATCTCCAAGCTTGAGACCGTGGAGCTGCTCAAATTGTGCTCGTGCGCTGGGTGGTAACTCTTTCAATATCACTTGCTTCATCGTTTCATACTTTGCCTCATTCGATGGGCAGAGTGGAATGTCCTCAATCAGCGTCACTACCGACGGAGGAAGGCGTAGGACGAGCTGATTGTACCTTGGACGGTCCGCCGTTATGCCCTTATTTTCTAGATCGATCTCGAATATCTTAAACCAAACTTCTGGACTGTGTTCCATGAAACTTGGAACATCCAAAGTAAGCATGGTTACGCTGTGAAACGACTCAGATGCCGCTCTCGAAATGAGTCGAAAGATAAAGAACGAACAAAATACGATAAAGTACTAAAATTACGCAAGAAACAAATGAATATAGGTATATAATAGGGAAAAAGGAACGAACTCACCAAAAAATGCAAACGAGAAAAAATGTTGAATTCGCGCGTGCGAATCGGGGTCACCAATTTATAGGACTAATTAATACTAGTCCGAGACGGTGCGCAAAAGTAAACGCGGATATCAGAAGGCAATTGGAGTCGGACACAGCGGACTGTATTCGATGAGAACTGTGTGATCGGAGGTCGGAAAAACTTGTGTGGTTTCCGTACGTTCCGTGGTACAAATTGTACATAGCAACGGTTGCGTAGCGACATTGCCAAGGTGGCTGAATGTGTGAAACTTGTAAACTAGGTTTAAGATGGCTTTGGAAATAACATTGTATGTGAGTTACGATGCCGAAGAAATGATAACCTGTATTGGTGCATGTGCGAGTGTTTGTTTTGTTTTTTCGGTGGCCATACTGGTTTTTCCTGCTATCGCTATGGTTGTCGATGATAGTGAGCTGTTCGGGTCTTTGGTTATTGGGAAGTATGAACGTGTTGAGGACCTTGAGAAGCGGTTGGAACGTTTTCAGATTGAAACGGCTACTGGTTTTTCCCGTGCATCCTCCAAGTCTGCTGCCGCATACCATCGTGGACGGAGGAAGCCAGTGCCCGAGGTGGAATGCTACCGTTTCATCATGTACCGTTGCGTTCATCGTAAACGTTCAGGATCACGTTGCAAGCGGTAAGTTGGTCCTATTTCGTCGCAAGACCACTAACGCATGTGGATACAAATGCTACGATTGCAAGGCTCACTTCTCCGTGTTTTTCAAGGAACGTAAGTATGCCGTGCAAAGTTACGTAATGACGCATAGTCATGAGTTTCACTTGGGTAATGCATGGTTGTATGCACGGAACCGTCGTATTTCTTCGGTGCAAATGGAGGAGGTTTTGCGTTTGATGGAAAGTTTCCGTAGCACACCAGGTTTGCGTCGTTGTATGTACCAGGAGTACGGCAAACGGGTAACTGGTTTGTACCTGTACAATTTGCGCATTCGTCATCGGGATGCAACCGCTTGCTATGTGTCGGACGTGGCAACGATGTTGGAAGGGCACGGTGTGTGTCCATGGTGTCGGAGGGCATTGACATACGTTATGTGTTTTTTGCCCCATTGTTAGTCCGCGACATTGTGAATCGTTAGGGTGAGGTGCTATTATGCGATGTGACGCAGCAGCTCAATTTTGGTGGCTACATTTTGTGGCATTGCATGCTGGTAAATGTCACAGGTCTGGGGATTTCCTTTTTCTACGTCTTTTTACCCGATGAGACTTCCTACAGGTATGGGCAAGCAGTTGATGCGATGCGGGATATGGTGCCTAGCACCGTACGTTGCCACACAGTGGTGTTGGATAAGTGCGCTGCTCACATCCTGGCTTTCATGCGTTTTTATCCCAACGCGAAGCTGGTTTTTTGTGGTTACCATGTTAAAGTGGACATGGCTTGATGTTGCGGCCGTTTACGCGGGATGTCTGATGCTCGTAGAATGCAATTACGAGGTTGGCTGCATTATCTTATATATACTCGTGACGCGTCCGTATTTGAAGGGATATTGAACGCGGTGGGGAGTGCGAATACTGATTTGCACCGTTATTTGTGCGCAACGTGTATTCCACACGCGGACTCTTGGGAGGCGCACAGACTGAGGGATACTGTTCATTTTGGCTGCCACACGACGAACAAAATGGAGAATGAGAAGAAGCATCTGAAGGAGTACTTGTCGGAGAGGTCATCGCTACTCACTCTGTTCACTTGCTTGGTTGATAGAGCCAACACTATGGTGCACCAAAGGAACAGCATAATAGGTAGGCGGTGCATGAGCGCAATGGCTGTTCCATCTGAGGTGTCCTCAGTGGGTTCCGTTTTCGCAAGACTAAGCGACTTTGCAGGCGACGTGTTCATGGCGCATTTCCGTACGTCAACCTTTCTCGGTTGCAGGTCTGATGGGCCTTACTGGTTGGTTACGTGTCCTCGTTCGACAGTGCGTCGGGTGTACATAACACAGGCAGGGAATGCGATTGTGAGTTTAGTCGGCAGTGGCGGCTCCCATGTGCTCACATCTGTTATGTGGCGGCGCGCCACCGTCACTTTGCGCCGGACATACTCCATGGATGTCGGTGGATGGCACCCCGGCTAGCTTCAGCAGCATCATGGTAGTCCGTTGCGTCTGTTGAGCGTGTGCAGATTGTGCACCGTAACGCGTTGGATAGCGATGCAGTTGGGAACTGCACGGTAAAACGTCGCAGAACGCAGCATGTATTGGCGCACATGGGCGCTCAATTAGTGACCTACGGATGGGAGAACTCCGGTGCATTGAATTACCTGAAAATGGTAGAGTTGAGCTGGTAGCTTTTTGGACGTGCCATACTACATGATATTTGTAGTTGATTTAACGTGGAAAACGGTGTTTGATTACACACTTGAAACGAATTTTGACAATTGTCAAATTTCCTCTGATCCAAGATATCTTTGATCGATTACAGCGGTGCTGGTCAAAGCGTCTTTGCGCTTACTGGTAATTTTTCCAGTTTTGCACCCAGTTTTTTGCCTTTTTTGTTGTCGTCATTTAGCTATTGCATACGTGTTAATATCACTCTGTTTTCCACTATGTCTGTCTCGTAATGCACCGAGGCTGTTGTTCCGGATGGCTCGGATTCTGGGTTTATCGCACTTTGTGGCTGTCCAAGCTGCAATATACCAGAACTGACGATTCCGGCGGTATGCAATGCGATGTCTGCAACCGATGGTACCATCAGCTTTGTACGGAGCTAAATGCCGAGCAGTTCGCAGCGCTTCCCTCTAGCGAAAATTTGCTGTTCTGTTGTGCCAATTGCTGCAGCCGCCGGCAACGCCGCACGGCTTTTTGTACGAGAGATGATTCTGTTGGCCGACAGGGAGGGGGCGTCGCTCTTTATGTGAGCTGCAAACTTGACGTTTTCAAGACTTGCTTATTTCAGTCAACAGACAAAACGTTTGAAGCTCTATCCGCTGTTATTAGCACAACCTCAGCTCAGGTTACAGTTGTAATTGAGTATAGAAGCCCCGGGCGCGTATCCAAACAGGTACTGGAATTCATTCCCTCCCAGTCAGAGAATAAGTGTTTGGTGATAGGCAACTGCAACCTGCCAGAGATTTGCTGGGCAGAGCTTCCTTGCGACTCAGCGTCAGGCACATTCGGCGCTGATCTGCTTGAACTTACGCTCCAAGTATCTTTGCACCAGTTCATTGACCTCCCCACTAGGTACATGCAAGCCCAAGTACCGTCTCAGAGTTCTCTCAGATTACCGGGATATTACCGGTGCTATTTCAGCACTGAACGTTTCATACTTCGCACGAGAGCTTCCTTGGCTCACCACACTTTAGTATTAAACCTTTTTCATCTTGACTATCGTCTCTTAATTGCTCTCATGAGTTACTCTTCGCACTGCCGTCCGCATTCTTCCGCTCATAGCTGATTCCTTAAATTTCCTACTCTTCTTGGAACGTTGCTTTACCTATGTTGCTCCCGTATTCGGTCTCAACCTTGTTGTCCTTAGTTTCACCTAAGATGCCGCTCGCATTCGGTCTGCTGTCATCATCATCGGTTTACCTGTTACTCTCCAACAATCATATTAATCGCTTAACGTTGTCAACACGCTTTGTTATACACTTCTTTCTACCTAGTAGTTGTAGTCTGAGGCACACCAGCGACGTGATGTAAAGAACGCGCTTGCAAATCATGTATACTTAACAAAATTACATAAATTTTAATGTATCATAGGCACCGTTGCGCGTCACCAGTCTGTGTCTGTGCTTCTTGCTTCGTTGCTGTCTTTCTGTTTGGCTGCCTCTTGTTCGTTGCCCGTTTTCACCCGAGATTTCCACAGATACATCCGCCAAAACAAGAAGGTTTATCCACTGGGAATAGTCGACCCACTTTCAATAGCCAGCTGGTTTACATGCTTGTTCTTTTCTTCGGGAGATGATGGACCCACACATCGTTCCAAATGGAGCGCTTTCCGCCATTCTGGAGAAGCTACCACCACGCGGTCTAAACAAATGGGTTTAGCTCGCCTCGTACTCACAGTATAACAATTTACTCACCTGGAATAATGTAGTTACATGGAACCACTGTTCCACAACCGGAGACTGACAATTCTGGCGTGATTACCTTCACTGCCTCAAACAGTTCGATTCTCCAGTCACCTGGAGCTTTTCTGATGTCATTTCACGGACAGCACTGCGCGCGCACAAGCGGCTTTTCCGATGATTTTTCCTGGAGTTCTCACTTGGTTATGGAGACAAGTACACTTACATTTGAAGGAAATACTTGTCCACTTTGCGGAGAATAGCATTTATTCCTGTTTTGGACGTATTCAGACACAAGAAACAACTGCACTCACCGTAAAGCGCGAAGCGGGATCGGTACGCTTTAAAACCAATACGCGAAAATAAGGCCAACCTCCGGTGAGTGGAGAACACCAAAGGTAACGCTAGGAAAAATTTATTAAGTGGGCGAAAGGCTATCTAGTGCTAAAAATAAGGCACCGAAAGATAGCTAGCTAGGGAAAGGTGTGGTCGCGTGCGCGGAGAGCAAAGATGGCAGCGGAGCCGAGGAGCGTCGCGCCGTTCGAAGGCGGATGCTATGTTGACTCAAACAAACGCGAGCAACGTTCAAACAGGCGAGCGGCTATTTTGCTATGTACATCGAGAAAATATAATTTTGTGATTTTGTAATATTTTACGCAGCATGCGGCAGCCAAACAGGGGAATCTCCAGGTCACTACACAGCCCCCCTCTTAGAAGGGAACCGTAGGTGACCCTTCGATCTACGTGAGGACTGTCCGTCGCCGGCCAGCCTTCTGCGAGACCAGGCGGTGAAACCTGATGCAGCTGCTGGGGGAGAACCAATGCGATCGGACGCTAGGGGGGCTCCCACCCGTGTCCTCCCTACAGGTGCCAAAAACACAAAATGGGGGAAATGTTCGCAGCGTTCGAGTGCGTAGTGTCGAAGCACACGATGTTTGAGCACGTAGTGTCCGCAAACGTAACGTTCGATCGTCGTTGAACGTCCGCGTGTCGAGGATATGAAAAAGAAGCGGAGACGCGGAGTGTCAAACAGGTGCGAGCGACAGAGCTAACGAAAAACGATAGCACTTACCGAGTGCGATAAGCAAATAAAGCGAGAACCATTTTGTGTTTTCAAAACGATTTTCTCCTTTTTTGGGTTTTCAAAACGTCTTTGCGGTTTTTGGG